TCTCTAATAATATATGAGAAAGTTGTTTTCAGATTGATCTGTGTTAACAATTTGAGATTGTCAAATCTAATTTTTTATGTAGTAAAAAGATTTTTATTAGTGTGATGACTGAGAAAAACTATTGAGTGTTTCCTGGGAGAAGGTGAAATACATTATGAGGAATCAATCTTAAGGTTGCACTTTCTGTTTTAGAATTTATCTAGTAAAGATTCTTAGTTTAATCATATTAATAAGTCTACTTTTCTGAGGAAAGAAATATGTCTATAGAAGGGAATTTTTCATGTTTTTTCAGGTCCATAACATTCATTCTGTGTGGTACAATTCAAMTCATTTTCAGATCAGCTGAAATAGGTGTGTCTGTGCTTTTCCAAATATCTACACTACCTAAAATTATTAGGAAACCTTCTAAGCATATTTTCATCATGCATAGAACTTRTTTCTACTGATGTATCAATATTTACTGCATAATTAATGGTGAGCAGAGTCCTTAGAGAAAATATTCTAGCATCTTCCTGAAAAAGGAGACTCTGAAGGAGCCTCAGGACAGGCAGGTACCCAGCTGCTATTGAGACATCTATTCACTCCCCATTGCTGCTTGGAACAAGAGCAATTGCTAATGTTGTCTTCCTTTGGTTGTCAGTTTTTCTGACTGTATTAGAGCTGCCCAAGGAGTTTTTGTTATGTCTTCAGGTAAAGTGCAGGGATACTAAGGAAAGAAAGGAATTCATCCAACTGAACTTTTTTTATGCCACTTTCCTGAGTCCCTGCCTTTTCAGGRGCTTATCTCACTGCACTTAAAACTGGCTCTCTAAAATGAGCTGTTGAGAAAACTGAAAGGAGCCTTTACTCAGGCTCTGCTACCAAACTGCTCTRTATGTGAGCTCCCTCCCAGCTCACTTGGGAGAAGCTTCTAAGTTGAGGCTCTCATGCTTAAAGAATGTCTTCATGACAGATCTGTGTAAACAGTACTTACTGAAGGCTATCTAATGAAAAAAAMCCCTCATTTTTGAAAGAGGCTTGGATGGGATGTTGATCAAATACCATCTTCAGATTTTTTAATTAAACATCTGTTTTATTAATCCATTTACTGATCCTGCTCATTGAGCTCTGATTCACTAAGTAGAGAATTTGTCTTTTAAATGTTGAATATGCAGTCTGCTTTATGCCTTTTCACTTCATCATCCCAGATGCAGTTGGCAGTCCATTCTGTTACARTGCCACAAAGGAACATTTGTGTTTCTCCCTTTTATTATTTGAATAGCTGTTTGGTATTTAAATAATTAACTTCTGTCTTCAGAGAGCCAAATTAGAGTTGTCTAGGTGATTTCTTTATGAGCAACGGGCTTCCTATCTTAGCTCCTTTCCTGTTCAGTTGTCTTCACTGTTTAGCAGAAATACACAGCTTCACCTTTTGTTTAGGGATAGAAAACATACACAATCTAAACYTTAAAGGTCAGCTATTGCTTTCAGTCCTGCATATTTTTTACAGTAAAAAACCCACATAGCTCAGGAGTTGATTTATCCCATGCAGTTGCCATTCTTTTCCACATTTTGCCTGCCATTCAGTGAATTTAAATCTCACTAAGGGAGCCCTTTCATTTAGGAGACAGTATCYGATTGCCTGAAAAGCAAAGAACAGTGTTGATCCTAGTTAAGTAATGGCACTTTCCACATCAATAGTTGAGCCATATCAGCCTGTGCCTGCTTTGCAGAAAGTAGGAGAGTGGCCAGGTTTTCTTCATTCCATAAGGTTGCAAAATCATCTCATTTGACATCCCACCAGTACTCTCTTCTGGAAAAGCTCTCTTTGGATCTTGCTACAGCTTGATCTTAGTTTGCTTTAGCCATAAGGAGCTTTATTTTCGGGTCTCATTGCTGCTGATGTCATTCAGTTGTACAGAAGGCCATATATTAGTCTGAAWCTCATCTTGTTTGAATGTTTTATTTACAGCCTATGAACTTCAGAGGGGGAAGAACCTTTTCTCTGACCAAAAAAATTGAATCAAAACCATTTCTGTATATAAGCTTGTAGGCTGGACCTAACATGGAGGGAAATACACACATCCCATACCTCCCATTCCYTCCTTCTTCCAAGAGTCCCTGAGGYCAGTGAGACCCAGACGAGGTGAGTGCTTCTGTGCATTCTGGTGCAGCAAAATAAACAATTCAGGAAGGCATCAGAACATTTGGTTTGCATATATTGTTTATATAAATCTCAGGTAAAGTTTGCTTTTTCAATACATTTTTCTGTTGAAGTGTATGTGCAAGGTGGGAAAGTGTGTGTTCAATGCTAGMCATGTTTTTAGGAGATAAAATATCAACAAGGTGGGATTGAAAGCTGTGAAGGTTATACACAGCTTCTAGGTAAGAAAGCCCCAGGACAAGGCAGAACTGGTGGGAGGGATGAGCAGGGAGAAGAATAGAGGAAAAATACATCAGCAGCCAGCTCAGCTTTGCTGGGCCACAGCAAGACTAGTTACTAGCTTCAAACTGAAAGTGAGAGTTACTGCAAGGAGAGCCAGGAGACCTAAGGAATTACCCAGAGGAAAAGAATATCTGGTAGTATAATAAAAATATTTTAATCTAACTTAGTATTTTTTGCAATCTTTAATAGAATATGTTTTATTTAGTCACTAGATTAATGCTTGTTATTAATGAAAATAAGATTTTAACATGRCAAATTTCATATAGCTTTACTGTTCAATTAATGTCAGCAGTCATCTCCAATTCCCGGGAAGAGGAAGCTGAATGCAGCTTTCCTTTCCTATAGATGCTGCAGAAATGYCCACAATTCCTGCTGCCTTGCCCTAATGGTGTTGGTCATATAGTAATGGAATAGTTTGTGTTCAAAGAGACCCTAAATATCATCGGTTTCCAAGCCCCCTTCCACAGGCAGGAACACCTTTTGCTAGAACAGGTTGCTCATGGCCCGATCATAGCCCTGAACACCTCCAGGARCGGTGCATTCCCAACTTCTCTGGGCAGCCTGTTTCACCGCCTGATACTGGGTGGAGTGTCCAGGTCTCTRCTGGCTTTTACTTTTTAGCAGTGTTACATGCACGTATTTTTCAATCTGTGAAATACAAATGTTACATTTTTTTTGTTAGACACCGCTGCCATCTTGTGACAGAATGTTGGAAGTTGTAGCAAACGGTCTTAACTTAGTGGAGAAATTAAGATATTTTTTCCAATATTTCCGGTATTGTTTGTCGTACCATCACACATCGAATATCRTAATAAACATACATATTGCCAATCTCTACTGAGCTTGCAAGTGARTATACAGTCTTTAAGAGAGGGCACTGATGACAAACATCTGATGCCAAAAYTAGTTTGGCATTGGGAAAAGTGTGATACTTTTTTCCTCTAATAAGAGATCAGTTTACAGTTAAAATACCCTCTTTATTAAAAAAAAAAAAGGATGGTTAGTATGCTTTGTTCACAGAGAAGAGGTTAAATTACTCATATGTTTGTGTTACATCTAAAAATTGATAATTATAGAAGATGAGACATTAGTGAGTAGGTGAATGAAACTAATTGATGCTATTCCTATTTATCTTTTCTTTTACCACGCAATTTTCTTGTTTACAGTAGCAATTTGTAAATGTTGCAATTACATGACCTCTATAAATAAAATACACAGACTAACTGTATCATAATTAAGATTTGTCAGTCAGATATACAGGGCTTGCAAATAGTCTGAAAATTGAAGTTTGGATCAATAACATTTTAATTCAGATTATTATTTAGATTTTATATTATATCATTAAAGGAGAGGTTAAAAAAAGGAAATAATTGGTGCATTGAATCCAGAAGAGTAACAGTAATTAATTGTGAACAGGTGGACTTGAAGAAAGAGGCATCTGTTGAAAGTTGCCGAAGCAGTAGGGAAATCACACAGATGTGACAGCCTGTGTAATCACAAAATGTGTGAGTACCAAGGGGACAGCTTGCTCTCAGAATTTTTTTTMACTGACTCTTGACAGCTACTTTTTRCCTGRAACAGAAATYAGTTTAGTGTTTTGATAAATTTTTGGTGTTGTATCAGGTGGATTGYAATATAGAAGCAATTAACAGAAGATRGTAAATTAAATATTATTTYAAATTTTAAATATTATTTGTGTGGAAACACAATTACAGAACACCAACCTTGCTCTTGCTCTGACTTAAAAATTAGCTTAGTGCTACTTAGTGTTTTGGAAAGAAACAAGTTTTTAGAGATTGAAAACATGACTAAGGAATGGCACAAATACATCTGGTTTACTATCTGTGCCTTCAGTACAAGAACTTATATAAGAAACAAAACGTGAAAGCCATACATTCAGAAATTTTTATGAAGAAATAGTTCTTTTTCCAAATTTGATGGTAACCTGAAAGACTCCATTACAATGACAGTTAAAAGTGAGGCCAAAAATCTCATAAATTCAGGAAACAGATTACACATTCACATGTGGTAACACTGAAATCTGTGACATCCACAAGGATGAAAAACATTCACAGGAAATATAAAAGCAGAAATAATTAGTAATAAATCTGAAAGTAAGAAGAAGTTACCTCTGTCTGTGCATTATGCTTGAATCTGAAGAATTTGGTAGCTGTTAGTACTTCTGGACATAGAGTAATTCATGTATTTTATTATGATTCCTATGATTTTGTTATAATGAATAATTTCTAAAGTTTAGGATATGTAGAAACATTGTGTTGACTGAGTATGGCAACTACAAGCAGTTGAAGTCCTCAGAAATTTTCGCAGACCAGTCTATAGTTCTTCATACCTGTATTTTCAATATCTCACTTTTTCTCATAAGAAATGTTCACTTTTATCAAACAAGGACATTGCTTTTATACTTTGCTTTAGTAAAGAGGTTTCAAAGTAACAAATAAATAGTCTTTTCCTGACTCATATCCCTGTCACTTGTTCATCCAGAAGTATCACAGAAATATTTACACCTTTCAACACTGGAAAAGAGAAATTGGGCTGTTAGTTGCCAGTAATTCTGTCAAGAGAACACCTTATTTTGCCACTTTAAATGAAGCTCTTCTGAAAGATCGCTTCTGCCACTCTTCCGCAAATAGCGAGACAGGAGCTGTTGTTTATCAGCCGACCTTGGAAGGGTTTTTTTCCAGCAGCAAAGCAGCTCATAGATCTGCTGTGTTAAATTATCAGGCCACTTCAGCCTAACAAGCTGAAGAACGCTCCGCCGAACAGGTAAACATAAAGCAAACAATGATGTATTATCTTCTGCGAGCTCTTCTGCAAGCCAAAACAGCAACTTGTCCCACAGGGCCTCTGAAGGGCAAAAATTAATGAGGAATAAATCTTCCCTTTTTTTAAAAAAAAGCTTTCTAAAGCTAGAGGCTCAATGGGTAACCTCCCAGACTAAATAGGGTAGGTTTTTTTATTTTTTGAAAAAATCATCCCATCTCATTTCCAATGCCATTTTTGGTTACTGCACTGCGATATGAAGTGAATTTAGTCAAGAGTAAATTCAGCAAAGGTCCATAAATTTTGGGAGTGAATCAGGAAAGCTAGCAACAAMGTAAAAGCGTTTCAATATTTACTGTAACAGATATATCAGTTATACTGGAGCTTTCCATTACAAACTGAATTTCCTTGTACAGAAAATTCTGTGCCATTCAAGCATCCCTCCATAACATTATCTTACAAGAGCTTTTGCATTTCCTGATAAACATATTTTTTTTCCTTTGACTATCTTTTAACACATTAACTATTTCCTTCCYGAATATGGCATTTTAAAGTGTCAGCTACAGCTGAAACAACTCTATTATTATTGTATCTAATGATTGCACTTTCTAATCTACTATTGTATCTATTATTATCTAATAACTATAATTTATATTATTTATATTGATATTGATTTAATGGTTGTTTTCTTACCTGATGAATCAGAAAAAGTTCTTTTTGTGCTTTGTGGACGGTTGACCAATTTCTCTTGCTATTGAAGAAAATGTGTTGAAGAAAGAGAAATGTCTAAATGAGTAAGAGGTGAGATTTGATATGGGAGTTGATTGCAGTAAATTCATTGGGGATTTAAATCCTGCCATKTAAAATTCGGTCCATCTACACAGAGGATTTTTGTCATTATTGAAAGCCAATTAACACCATCAGCAGGTATAAATCAGTATACAGCTATTAAAATAAAGAAATTAATTTAAAATCCATCYATAAAATCGATGTTTATTATCTCTTATTAAAAAGTTCATAATTTATGCAATTTTAGAAATATTTGATTAATAGCATTATTCCATATCTGATGTATAGAAAATGGGTGTATAAAAAATTTACAGAAAATTTGTATAGAACCTCCACAGATTCTACAGATTCTAATTTTGAATATTGGATTAACTTTGCCTTCCTTTCAAGGAAGAGAACAATTTTTAGGTATGCAGTAGCTGTTGTTAGGTCAGGCAATCATACTGTGTCTRTAGGTATAGTTATTAATTTTATATAGTTCAGCTTTTAATGATAGATCATGAAAATGTCAACAAAATTTAAAAGACAATTTCTATTAAAAAGTACACAGTTCTTCCTCTTTCTACCTCTAAACATTGGAGAAAAAGAAAAAAACACTTTTGGCTTTTTTTTCTTATGATTGAGAAAGTTGAAATTCTTGTGGGCTTTAGTGTTGTTTCCACTACRCATAGAACAAGAAATTACTTCTGCAAGCAATGTGCACAAAAAGGGATTAATTTGTATGAAGTAAAATTCAGGTTTTTTTTTTGTTTAAAAATGAAATTATCCTTTTTTAGTGCCCATATTACTTTTGTCACACACATTYAGTTGTATTACCCGGCTGTTTATGCACAGCTCTCCTGAGGAGATTTGCCTGAGGTTTATTTGCTGATATTCTGTTTGTCATTTGTGAATTAGGAGCATGAAACTCTGACTGGAAAAATTATTCCCCTTTTCTTTCTGGCATACTGAGCATTATGGAGCTTATCTTAAGTCTGTATCTTATCTTTATGATACAGACTTTAAATATTGTTGAATATTTGGAGTGTCTCAGATGTACTGAGCTGCACAGTGTAAGGTCAATACAATAATAAGCGTTATCTATTGTGAATTAACCAACTTTTCATCAGGCCTGTACACAGTCAGCTTGGGAGGTGATTTCAGTGTGCTCGGGATGTGCACATTYTGCACTGCCTGGCAGTGAAAAACCATCCCATGCTGCGCTTCTCCTGACATATTGGGGATTGAACTGGGTGACCTTTAAAGTAGCTTTCCTACCAAAATTATTCTATGATTCTATGAACTGAATCTGCCTAATTTTGCATGCTTCTACAACAATTCTGTCATTGGATGTGCCCCACTCTGAAGATGAATGACATGGCTAAAAATACCCACAGAATAAAGGGAATATAAAGSTCTTCCAAAAGGGGGCATTGCTTTTCTTCCAAGACTCAGCTTTCTCTAGCTTYGTTTAATTATGCATTTATCTTTAAACTTTTTTTCATTCATTATTGAGAATTTAGCACCTCAAAGGTCTGTATTAGATTTTCAAAGTTATTGTAGATTAACTCAATTACCCATGCACTGGCTTTAATTTGAACCAATTTATGCTAATTAATGTTAAAATAGTATTAAAATTATAAGAATTGAAAATTAGTATTGTCTAGAAACGGTATAATAATATACAATGCATTAGATCTAAAACATTAAATTGCCTTTAAAGATTAAGTGTCTGTGGTGAAGTGTTAAATTCACCCACAGTTGAGCTGCACTGGCATGTGGTCCTGCTGTTCTAGTTGACAGCTTAAGTGAAATATTCTTAGCAGTCAAGCARTTTTCTAGTCTGGAAGGCCCTTCAATTAGCTAAGACACTGCCTTTCTGAAGCAGGGGATAACATGCTACTGTGCTGTTAGACAGTCATTAGGCATAAAACTTCAGCAKATCAGTAACTTCAAAATGTCTGTCCATATTACAGGAATCTATTTTTGCAGAACCTTCCCAGCCAGTAATATTGATGTGCTCTATCAAATGGACCTCTCAGACATGTTCAGACTCCAGCAGCATATCAAGCAGGACAGCCAGAAAAGGAGAAATTAATCTTTTAACTCCTTAGTCCAGTTTCAMATAACTCTGAAATCAGTAGATATCTGCACACATTACATCAGAACTTAACACACTATATCTGACTTGTACTGGAATGTGTTTTCTGCTGCTGAGGAAATGAAAGCATCATAAACTGGAATTATTAGTGAAGATCAGGTTAGTCCTGTAAAAATATAGCATGTTTAATGTAAAAACTGTTGTGAATGTTTGCATACAAAGTAAATGAACACTATTTTGACCTCTGTCAGAAAAGCATTTGTGAGTGAATAATGTGGGCACATCTGTATAGAAAATGGCTTATGATCTTAAAGCTACTGTCTTCTTTCTCTAAAGAGAAATTTAGGTGGGAATTTTACAAAAATGAGTGAAAATGTAGTAGTCAGAATGGTTGCCTTAAAAAGATTCCATCTGTCTTTGTCAAACCAAAATCAGGCGTTCTGGATGCTTCTAATTATCAACTTGGAAAAAAAAAATTGTTTGGAAAATTTGTTTTCTTTCAGGCAGCACTGAGTGTTTGTGAACATGTATATTAAAATGATTCCATTAAAATGGTTAAACCAAWTTTTATATATAAACATAAAAAGTAGTAGAAAACCCACCTAAACCTCTGATTCAAATATATTGATCAGATCATGGATAGTAAAAGCAGAAATAAATTTCTCATTATAATTTTTACTGACAGTGCTTTCATTACTTTTAATAATTTTAGAACACATCATAAAATACATTAAGCAATTAGAATTTAATTTTCATTGCTCTGGAATTTAATTGGATCATTATGTTTAATACACGGTTCTGTTTCTCTTCCATTCAATTCCTTTTCTAGCTGAAACACATATTTAATTGCTGCAAATATCCTGTGAAAATGAGTTCAYCATTTGATTATTTCAAAATGTAAAAAGTATGYTCTTTCCTATCACTGGTTACGTGTGTGTCTTATAAATACCATTTGTTTTTATCTCCTGTGAAAGAAGATATATTAACTTTTTTTTAAGTTGCTCCATAATATTCATAAGTGTATACAATGTTTCAAACTTCATTGAAGCTGTCTGAAGTGTTCAGATCAAGGTATTGTCTCTCTGTCTAGAACCAGTCCATATTTCTGACTCCTACTTTCTTTMCTCTTCTTCCAAAACCACTTTCTGCATTCTGTGACCAAAATTGCAGTATGCACTCCTGATGTGGATGCCTCATAATGCCTCACAGATACCTGGCATAATCTTGTTTTCAGTTTTGTTCCCTGACAATTTGGATAATTCTGCTTACYTCTTTATCTACTGCTGAATGCTTTGAAAATCTCAGAAATTTTAAGAAAAATATTTTGGAAGTTTTTTTAATTGGTAATAGGTAATTTAAAATCTGTCTGTATAAAACCAGATATGTTCTTGTACTGCAACAAAATACTGACATCTAATTATCTATTTTATTTTCTAGAGTTTCAGTATCATATTATGTGACACTTCACAGACAACTTTAGTGTTCTGACTATTTTGTACATCTTCAGACTTTTCACTTAATTATTCAAAAGTTTCTGATGAACATATGAGTACTGATCTGTATGGGACTTTATTAGAAATCATCTTTTTTGGAGAAAACCAATCTATCTTTTAGCTAGGAAATATTTTTTGTCCTTAAAATTTCTCTGAGTTAGTTGAGTATGGAATTMAAGATTTACTTGGCTGGAGGAAGGTATGAAGAGCAAAAAAGTGACAACATTGTAACTTTTTTGTTAGCACTGCCAGATAGTGGTGGGGATAAAATTCCCACTTGCTTTGTGTGTTTATATACCAATAATAAGGTATGTAGTATTTAATTTACAAATTATTCACTAAGGTCAAATAATTTACTTCACTGAGGTTTTATCATTAATAAAAAACCAGCAATGTAAGTAGCTAGATGRAGGAATATTTCTTCACTCTTAAAAACTGACTTTAGGCATTATCAGTTTTAAATGATTGCACTGGATGGTTAGAAGTTAGGAAAAAAAGTAGGATGATTCACCAATTATAGTAAAGTATTTTATGTACTGATATGAYTTGCAGCATAAGGGGAGATGTCATTTTTTGATGCTGTTCTTCATTCTACAGATCAGTGTTTTACTCTGTGTAAGGCAGAAAAATACAACAAAATGAAAAAATTTTCAATGTGCAARTGTTTTTAAGCACTTCATCACTTTGTGGATATAGTATTTGTACTTAGTGAAGATTTTGAATCCCTTGAAATGTACTTCTCCAAATACATTTACAAGAAGCAAAAGCAAAATTGTTTGCAAGATGCTTGAACATTGTTTTTCTGAAGTGATATAATAATTGTATTCCTCTAAGCAAGCTTTTTGGCATCAAACTTGGGTCCTCTGTGCTGGAAATGATTCGGTTGAAAATAAAGCCACTATTCAAAAAAAGGATGCTGAGAAAATATTACCAAAGTTTATCACCATTCCTGACATTTTACTTTATCTCTAATTTTCCAGCAATGACCATGTTATATGGCTCCATCCTTGATTTCCATTTAAATGAGTAGACTGAGGTTGATACTCTGTACCCACATGTATTATATATTCTCACACACTGGTACAGGCTGACCAGAATTCAAGATCTCAGTCACCCCAGGAAAGTGGAAACACAGCCTTAAAATTAGTAGGGGAAAAGGGCAAGTCAGAAACACTTGTTTAAAAAAGTCCAACATCTAAGGACTAATGTGTGTTGCAGTAGACTTTATATGCCAGCCCAAAATCTAAGACCCTTGATATTTATCTTTGTGGTTTGATACAAATGTAGTTCAATCCTTTAAATCTTATTCTTATTATCCAGTGAGATTAAATAAAATGGAAAAAGGGGATGGAAGCTAGTCAGGTGAATGGAAGCAAACTAACTGATGCCTAGGGTATGCTACAGGCATTTTTTAAATTATATTTTTTTTAATCAACCCCATTGACTTTGAGAGTTTCTAATTCCCTCCATGTGAACTGCACATGGAATGCTAACCGTTCAGAAAAGTGAAGTCCTTGTAGTGAAAAAATATGTTTTATGTGGAGTTTGTCACTGAAAGAGATCTCCTCTTATAATTATCTGCAGTTAACTCTTCTTAGCAGGTGATAGCATAAAGAAGAGTGAGATCAATTAAATTAAAAATGAGAGACATGCTACTGTTTGTCACCTGAGGTTTAGACCAAGTGTTCCTGTACATATTTTGRTATTAAAATATATGCAACTTTGATAGTAGTAGTTTAGGGCAGCATTTTGTGTGGTATAGAGTGTTGGTACATAAGCTTTTGAAACRTTTTCAATGATATTTCATTGCAGGAACATTAAAGATTAATTTATGTGGCGCTAGCTTTCACCAGAKATGAAGATAATTGCCAGCATGGCTGTACTGCAGAGGCTAATCAGGAATAATGGGATAATCAGCTGACAGGTGGGAGGTAGGTTACACAAACCATTTAATGATCCTACAATTTTCAATTCTGTGTTCCCAAGACAATGAAACAATAATGATATAACTGAAACTTAAGTAATAATTTCACAGTGCCATACCCGCTGCAGAGAGCAGATAGGTGAAAAATTTCTACTGGAAATTATTCCATGCTTATACTGGGATATGGGTCCCTCCCTGCAGCCAAGAGAAACTCTGAGAATGTTTGTACACAGATGAAGGGTAAGAACTCCATCAGTGACTCCYGTGTATATCTGTAAATCAAAAATCATGCCAAGGTCCTTTTCCTAATAAATATATGGTAAGGGAAAAAGGGAAATGTCTCTAATATTATCAAGTGAGAAACCCACCTTTGGTAGTTGTAATGGTAGTTTGCACAGTGGAGACTGGTTTCGATATTCATCATATGGCAAGGTTTGTTCCCATTTCTTTGTTATCCTCTCTCTGGTAATTTTATAAAACACTGCTGTTCCTTTGTAGTGAGGTGAACTGTGGTTACCAAATTCATCCACTTCTTTAATTTGAAGCTCCAGCCTGGGTTTTCTTTGTGAATGAAAAATAAGTCTGTAGACTTTCCCAAAATCTTCTCCATTCCCTGCAGTCCATAAAATAAAACTTTTTTTTTTTTACCCTGTATTCAGATGTGTGGCATCTAAACTAATTCATTAACATTAGTCAAATAAAGGTAATCACATAACATGTGGGTGTCCCTTGGTTGTCCTTTATCATTATTATTACTCTATTGAAAATCAGGGCCTCCTTCAGTAGTAGAAATATCTTCAGAGTTAGCTGTCCTAGCCTTTTGATAGCTGGCCTAAAGAATAAGTAGTGAAAGCAGTGCTCTAAGTTGAAAAGCAAGGAACACAGAAGCAGGTATGTACATAACACAGAAAAGAATAAAAAAAAATTTGTGAATGGAATTAGAAGTATGTGCTTTCTGGTTATTCAGGGTGGATGCCTACCTGTAACAATAAAATGAATGGAAATGGAGAGGTAGATGCATTTTTAGGATTTCTAATTCCATTTATTTGATACATMTATATTCACTATCCTCTGCATATATGAGCAGGTATTTCTCAGGTGCTGAGAGTTCTCTTTTTGAAGAATATTCCTTTCTTTAGARTAAATGTACTTTTCAATGGGAGAGTTTATGTGCAAAAAGTTCAGAGGGCCAAATACATATTTATATGTTCATTCTAAACTAACAGAATAGACTGTAATTTTGGGTGAAAACATTTCTGAGGCTTCTTATCTCTTTTCCCTTTAAGCAAGTCTCTGAATGGTGTCAGCCACTGCATTTCTAGGCTGCTGATGGAAATGGCGTAACTCTCTCTCTCCTCACCTCAATTCATTGTGCAACTCACATTTTGCCCTGGATTTCTYGCTCACTCTGAGCAAATTTACGCAGATAAAACAGAAGACAGAAACCTGCCCTTTTGAAATAATTCATAATGTACAATGTGTTTCTGAGGGACCAGGTTTCAGAGAATGGCATCAGTTTCAGAGATCCCTAAAGCTCATTTTGCCCAACTCTCCTGTTCAAAGCAGTGTCACCTAGAGCACATTGCTCAGGAGCTTTTTCGGGCAGTACATTCTCTTTTCAGTTGGAGCAGTTTCCCATTAAGTTCCATGTTCATTATTTGAAAAGGAATAATAGACTGAAATACCTAAATGTTCTGTAACTGACCACAATCTACCAGTGCTCCCATGTGGCATTATTTAATAGCTGAGGTAATTGATAATATTCATGCAGGTGCATTAATTAATTGCCTTACCTGAAGCGGAAATATTTCCTGTAAATCTAAAATGAATCTGCTCTCCTTCTCTTAATGGGAATTGCTGTGTAGGTTCTGGGGGACCAAAGTAACCCTCCTCATGGAGATTTTGAAGTTCATTGGTCAATTCTTTGGAGGCAGACAGCAAAACTACTATTTGATATGGGTTTTCTCTTTTCTGATATAGTATCACATTAGCCATGGTGCTATGAAGAGATTCTTCCAGGGCCTGAGCAAAGAGGAGAAGATTCTTGTTCTCCAAAAGGAATGAAAGGCGAATGATCACAAAGCTGTATTGAGAAAAAAATAAATTAAAAAAAGAAAATTGAGTTGAATAGCTTTATCGTAAGTAATTTTTTCTATTGGTAATTTAAACTATTCTAATAGTTTATTCTTAAACATAATATGGGTCTCTGAGGGACCTTTTGCTACCTTTTTTTATCCTTGTTTCCAACACATAAAAAAGGGGAAATTTACTTGCTTCTGTAGTGCAGATATGTTGATTATGTATGTATGATTTCAAACATATGTGAATTTTACATGAAAGTAAGATAGTATTTCCTAATAAGAATTTTTTAAATTATGATTTTGTATTTAGAAAGCTAGAATTAAGACTGATTTCGGAATCTGCTGTTTCAAGTTTTTCAGGTACCACATTATGTACATTCTATAAATGAAAAAGTTGGTGGTTTTTTTGCAATTATGAGCAACAAATCTAAATGATCTTATACTTTGAAGTGGAAGAAAGAGCAAGGTAATGGTTAAAAATGGATTATTTCTTAACACTACAAATTTCCACTAATTTGTAAACATGGAAGTAAATACTTCAGTAAATATAATTTTGTTAAATTATTCATACATTACCTTTCTAAATGCTCATTTAGTTCAAATGATATGAGTCCATTCTGTGAATTCTGTATAATAACATCATCCAACACCTTCCACCCCTCTTCTTTGTTTCCACGACCTATTAATTTCAAAGTATTATTGAGATTCTCCCCACTTTTTCTCACAGAGGCACTCACAGTCCTGGAAAGCCAAGTAATTATAGGAAAAAATAACAAAAACAGATTCTCAGAAAGAGTAGGCTTATGTTTGTAGYACTTCTCCCTTCTGCTTTCCTTGATGACTTTTTCTGGTTTATCCGCCTTGCTTAAAATCTGTATCTGAAACTATACTGCAGAGTGTGTGAGTGATATTAAGAGAGATATTTTCCAGTTCTTGAGAAAGAGCTGAAACTTAGAGTTGTTTTGGGGTTTTTTTGTTTTTTTTTTTTTTTTTTTTTTTTTTTTTTTTTTTTTTTTTTTTTTTTTTTTTTTTTTTTTTTTTTTTTTTTTTTTTTTTTTTTTTT